GTGCAACACTTTGTTTTCATTAACTTAAAATTTAAAGTTACATACTTTCAAGCCACAAAACATATAAGCATTAGAAATTATAGCAGAAAAGATAACATAATTATAATAAAAGAGAACATCTTGATGTGTCGGTATAAAGTTCACGGCTAAGGTGGAAAACATAGATTTGGTCACTTTGAGCAGTGACGTTGAAAAACTACTTAAACCTCCAAGTTTCGTCAAGACGAACCTGGTTGCATCTTTAGGCTTCATACAGACCGCTACACAAGAATACAAGACGATTAAGGGAATGCTCGGATTAGATTATGAGAAGAATCGTACTCTCAACGAGAGTAGAAGGGGTGGACTAGTTCTCTCCAATACATGATTTGAGAATCCAGAAAACGTTGATTCTTTCTCAAACGAGAGGATATCGGGCTCAGAAGATACATGATTTGAGAATCCAAAAAAAAATTAATCGTCTAACAATAAAGAAGATATCAGGCTCATAGAGTATCGTTGTGTTAATACCAGCAAGCGTAATGTAGTAATAAGCCATGGGTTTCAACGGATTGAATGATGAAAAGCACACTTGAATACAGCACCACCAAGCAAGAGAAACCGATACAATCTCGACACAGGGGTAGCTAGGATAATCATCGGCTATGGACCTTGCAAGAAATGTGTTTGGGCCTAAAGTAGATACTGATGGATCATTAGAAATATAATGGGCCAGACCCATTACTTTAAAATTTCAGGATAGGATAAGGATGGCTAGGGTATCGGTGCATCCATCGCCGGCGATATAGATCTCAGCCGAGGGAGGGAGGGAGGAAGATGGCAAAGGAGATAGTTTCGCAGTCGGTGGCGCAACGCTTGAAACCGGTGACTGGGATGTAGGGTCAAGCTCCGTGCCGGGAAACCTATTATGACCGGTGAAGTGGGGATCCACTGAGCCGTAAAAGGCAATAGAAGATCTCAGCCAGAGAGTGAGTCTTGTAGTCGACGGTGCATACATTAAAACCGGGGACTGAGGTAGGGGCGAGATAACAGTGACGAACCATGGACGGTGGTACCACATACGCAAGGAATCCGGTGGATCCGACGGCATCGAGGGGTTCAACGACGCAGGAGAAAACCACCTCCGCCGGTAAGCGAGGTCGAGTAGAGTTGTTTGGTTTGTCATCGCGGATGAAGAAGGCGGGGAGACAAACATCAAGGGGAACTCAAATCTCGTTGTCGAAGGAGGGTGAGGAAATTATGATTTTGCCCAGAGAAAAAACTGTTAGTACAGTTCAAATCAGGAGGAGAACGTAGAACGTACCGGAGAACGTAGCTCATTTTGGAGTTGCGACTACCTCGAAGATTGTGTCTGAGAGGAAAACTTACGGAGAATTGAGATAAAAAAAAAAAATCATTTATTTTAACTATTTCTATCACAAAAGGTTCAATTATAATTTTGAAATCAGAGAGAAGGCAAAAGAGAGATTTATAAACAAGCACAAACTTAGAATTTAGCACAAATTTTTTGGAACTAGTTCGGAAAATCAAAACCGTAGAAAATTGGAATATATAGATTCAAAAAAAAAAACTGAGAGAGATTATACAATATGTAGGAACTCACTGAAATATATTTCAATCTAGGTTTTCAAAGCCAATTGAGCAAAAACAAAAGCTTTGTCAGAGTAAAACCAAGAAATGAGATTT